TTGTGAGGATTTAAAGCTTTTCTTTTGTTTTATGTGATCTTAAACTAGAAATATTGAGAACACTCTCCAAGTTAAACATTGAGTCATAGTAGGTTAGACTTCACTTTACACCACAAACTGACTCTGTCACAGTGTAATAATGTTTGCTTGTTGCCAGACGACCCAAAGCTGAAATCCTGATGGGGAATTCAGATTTATTGGAAAACTATTTAAGTGAGTTTGTGTCACCCACACTGAATACAAATTATAAGCCATTTTATAGCCAAACGTAAATGAATAGTTGATTCTTGATCAAAAAAGAACCAGCCATTTTTTAAATGCCCACAACAATCACTTTTAATTTCTTATAAAATGACAACATGTGCTGGTGTTTTTAGTTTCCTCTGATAATAAACTACCTAATAATATTTTTGAGCTTTGTGACTGGTCATTGTGTGAAAAAAGGAATGTAAAAAATGTAAAGACATCCCTTTGGGCTTCATGCATTTGTGATGAGTTATTGCCAGATGAATCAATGATGAAAATATATGTTAGAAACTGCCTTGATTGATTTAATTTGTTTGTTTGGCTCTTGTGGTGTCAGGAAATCAATATCATTTCAATATGTTTGTAATATTCTACAAAATAATGTTGTTCACCCTTTAATGCATGCCTCTTAGTTTCTCATGTCTAGTAATTTATTTATTTAAGTGTTAATGATTCATTTACACAGAGGGTTAATAATTAAGTCTGCAGGTGTATTGTTAAGTTAGATCAAACTAGTCAAAGAGATTTTTAAAAACCTGCCGACCTAAAAGTTGTTGGTTATAACTGCAGTAAAAGATTCATTAACCATTAAAGGCAGCGCCTGGTATCAAATGTTTGGCAATAAATTCAGACTATGTTTGCCACAGTTCAGAAATATACAAGAAAGGGCTTTAAAGGCTGAACTTTAATAACTTCATGTTATTTGCCATCAAAAAGGATAAAGACTGAATGTTTGACGGTCACTATTCATGTTGTCATTTTCTCACTGTAATTCCCTTTTGCTATGTGACAACAGTTATTAAACCTGCGTGGGTTTCCACCTGCTCCGCGGTGAGACTGTTGTCAGTGATGTGACTTGGCCTTTTGTCTTTTATTCACTGTAATCCATGCATGTGTAAGTAGATCCTCTAAGAGCAGGATAACTCCCTTTAAGCTATTTTAACACTACAGGAGGGACTTAAATCCAGTAACTTCTCATTTACCTCTGCACCTTTAAGGCTCTAATGCAAAACACTCACATCCTGGTGACTAGACCGAGGCCTGTTTCTTTGATTGGAATTCACGAAATTGCTGATTACCTTAATTAAAAATGATGATGTTCTGAGCTATAGCTTCATTTAGTCAGCAAGTTGTGGATGACAGGGCTGTTTTAAGAGGCCATTTCTCATTTAGAGTGAACCCTGGTCGTCTTGAAGGGTTGGAGGTGATGCCCTGAAGAAGGGGAAATGATCCAGGGAGGAGGAGGGGGTGTTGAGTGAGTCAGTGGTGGCAGCTCTGCAATGGGGAGGGTCACACACAACCACACTCTTTGTGTGCCTTTAATCCCCCCAGCCAACACAGCTTTGGCCAGGTTTCATCATGAAAGTGCCATGAAATAACTACTTTTTTTCTCTGCTCGCAGTAAATCTCCCCTAATCCTGCGGGCTGCGGAGACAAAGGCCTCTGGGACCTAATCCTGGAGCTTTTAGTGGAGCTGAGGGGCTGGCCGACAGAGCCTCTTCTAAATGACTTATTTCTATCGGACACTAATATAGCTTGACAGCCAAGAACGGCCAAAAGAGGAGGAAAGAAAAAAAGCAAGGGGAATAAAGAGCACAAACATTTTCACATATTTTGGAAGTCTGAGCAGTTGATTGTGAGAAAGGAAGAAGTGAATCAAACATTTTTGAGCGCAGCCTCAAAGTACACACCTGTCAAGACGACTCACATGTTTATCTGTGATTATTAAAACCAAAAATAAGCCATTTATTTATTTGCAGTGGAATGTGATGGAGGAACGTACCTGCAGCCTCTTATTTATCATCTATGTTTTACTCACTGAAGAGAGTTTTCTTAACAATGCAAAGTTTACTTTCCATTCTTATGTTGAGAGAATACAATAACATTTCAAGAAAACTTGACAAGTTAATACCATGAAACTAACAATTATTCTGCTCTCCTTCATTTGAACGATATCAACATGTCCGTTTTTAGAGTTTTATTTTTGGACGTAGAGTTTTTTTCTAATGGAGGTTCTTGTGATAGATAGTAATGTATGTTGTACAAATGCTGATGTTAGACTATGTGGAAGAAGTGTGCCAAGATATTTTACGTACGTTAAAATGACAGTACCACAGTGTAGAAATACTCTTTAAGTATCAAAAGTCTCAAAGTTCTCTTTTTACAGATAGGCTCGATACAGAAAGAAATACTCAATATATTTGATTATAAGTATTCATGCATTACTGTGTTCATTGCTTTAATGCTGCACCTGGAGAAGGGTTAGTATTTTCTTAATCTACAATAATACACTTTATTTATTTGTTGATTTTATTTTTGCATAACAAATCACAATCAAACAATAACTAGTAAATGAAGTGATCAAATAAATGTAGTTGTGCCTGGTGTATAAACAGATTATTAATGATACAAGTAAATGCTAGTTTTCCTCCACCTCTGCAGTATTGTTTAAAACAAATGTAATTGGTGGTGATGAAAATGTTGATGATAAAATTGCCCTTTAGTTTAGAGGACTTCATGTTGTTCAAGATTTCATGTTTTTCCTGTTTTCTGTTCCTGGGAAGACTTCTAATTATCTCAGTAGGATTTATAAAGAAATACTTCTCATTGAGGAGGTTGAGATTAACTTCACATGGTGACAGTTTATGGGCAAAATATGGTGCCTGTTAGCAAAACAAACCCTCAGAGAAACCCCCACCGAGGGGAGACTGTCAAAGCCAGCGGCCTGAGAGAAAGGGGCTGAGAAGCAGAGCACAATCAAAGGCTGTTATTTTAATCTGTCCTGCCTCGGAGATTAGCCCACCACATTGTTTTAATTGTTTTAACGGGAGGGAATGAAACGCTCGCTTATAGGGGGATCCTTGGCATAAATCTCTCAAGTTCAATAGTTTCAAAAACTTGAGCTCCTCGCAACCCCCCTCTCTTCCCTCATCCCACCTAATCCCGGCTAATACCTTTCTTTCTATTGGCTAATGGCTGAGGGGAGCCTGGGTAAATGCGTCTTAAATAGTCGTGGGTGAGAATGGTTTGGGAGAAACAGATCCGTATCACGACAAAGCGCTGCTGTGTGAGGATTTAAGGCCCAAACTGGACTAGGAGACTACACAGCTCACCGGGTCCAGACCTCTGTGCGTAAAGGCGCACCTGCACCGTCCGGAGCTCAGGTAAACAGCACAGGCAACAACAAACCGAAAACGTTTCCAAATATGTTTTATAACTTAAAAGGATATCTGAAAGAAGGGTCTCGAATTCATGATGTCAAATGTATCCGATTTTAAGTTGAAATATGTGGACTCAAAATCCTGCCTCTCCTCATATAGCTTGTATAATATGTGTCAAATTGGCTGATGTTGTGAAAGAGTAAATCCGTAAGAAATATGATGATAATCACATGTCATATTTAACTTAATGTTTTGAATCTCGAATTTTACCAAATCACACGAACAGCCGCTTCAGAAAAAGTAAAGGAAGATGAAGAATAGATAATTACATTTTAGGGGGAAAGAAACTGAATGAATAAAATGAAAGAATGTTGGTCCCTAATAATTTTCTTCATTTTCATTTTGCAGTTATTGCTCCATTAGCAGATCATTATTGTAATTAAAACGTTTTAATGACTTTAATGACCATGACTGTATATTAAGATGCTGATGAACTCTTCAGTCGGTTAAATAAGTATTCCTGTTCCTCAGATTTAAGATGAACTCGTTGAATTTCTGCGGGACGTCCAACGGTGGAGGCATGTTTCCTCTCCACGGTGTGAACTCCATGCTGTTCGACCTGCGCCACCAGATGGCGGAACAGTACCGTGTGTACTCTGCCGCGAGCCCCGCGGTGCACACCCTGTCTGTGGCCGAGAGACTGGCAGGTGGGTCCTCGTAACTCTGCAACACTTTATTTACAGTTTTTCTCAATCGCTAAACCCACTATTTAGAATCAAAATTCCTTTCATCAAACCAACAGCACAGCCATCGAAACAGAAAACCATTTCTCTACAACAGTATACCATTTATCATTGATATCACACAAAATGCAGATGCTAAGCAGTGTTTTGCAAAACAGATCACACAACTCTCTAACTGAAGTTACAATTCTCTACACAAACATCAAAAATCTTTTGTGTAACTCATGTCTACAGAACAAAATAATCTTCTCACAGTGGATAACACTTACTCCTCATAAACTTAGACCATAGCTACACTAATTGACACTTGATGTGCAAAATATGAACACTTGTTATCAGTCAATCACCCCATTGAAAAAGGTAACTGCATGGAATGTACTGCATACCTTACAGTAATGATGTTACACTGAAAACATTTACATGACAGAATTTGCATGACTGTACTTAAAATATATTTTTAAATGGTGCCGGTAAAGCTATAATAGTGTTGATATGACTTGCATAGCTCTTTGAGATGTTCATATGGGGAGGATTAGCTATAGTTGATAGTAGAGCAATACATTTTTACAGTCAGTAATTGTGGTCTTTTCCTTTTTGCACATTGAGAAATGTTTTTTTTTGTATTGGGGTGAATTGAGTACTTCACTTNGCACCCTCTATGAAACATCAAGCTACCCCACAGCACCCCCAAAATAAATCTCTGAGCCTGACTATTTGTGTTGGGGGGGCCCGACTTTTTTTTTTCTCCAAAGGGGGGGCCTGACAGAAAAAGTTTGAGAACCACTGTGCTAAACCAAAAACACAAATGAACCCCCAGAGAATTCAGGTACAAATAACTTTATTTCACATTTGTATGTTTCTGTGCCTAATTACAATGGGGAACTTTTTCTGAAATGCTTTAAAAAGGATTATAACTGCCGGTGTAACCAGCTAAATAATACTGAAGGTGGCAATGGTATCTTTAAATGGGATGTTCATGCTGCTTGTGATGATTAAAGAACAGTCTTGTTGATGCAAATTTGCATCAGTTGCAACCAACCTGTTGATTTTAATAAAAACAGACTTAAATAAGACTTGGAAATATGTGACTGTATAGATGTATTCCCCTTAAACAGATAAAATAACACTCTAAATTAAAATTGATATTCTGCCAGGTTTACAATAAAAGGCAGTAAGTGCTTCTCCACCGTGTCTCTCCCCACGCAGGAGCAGAGATGTCGGGCTGGAGGTGAACAGGTCTACATTTACAGCCCCAGGTGAGGGTGAGGAGCTTTAGTAGAGCACACAGTCTGAAGGGAGAGGCTACAGTTTTTAGTAACAGAGGGCGAATGGACCCCGAGGGCAGAGCCGTGCTGTAAGATGGGCCAGAACACTGGGGGGAGGGCCAGCTCCGTGGACAGCACTCCTACAAGGGGCTGGTGAGGAGGCTGGCTGTAGCACTCCCTGAAGGGGAAGAGTGGAGGGGAGTGAAGGCGGAGGGAGCACCGTGAAACATCAGAGTCTGAATGTGTGCGAGGCGGACAAATATCCCTGCTTTTATCCACATGAGGAGGAGAAGGACAGCGATGAAGAGGATGATTGTGTCTGTCAGTGTGTGATGTGGAAATGTCCTGTTTGTCTCTGGTCCTCTCTTCCTCCTGTCCCCCCGTGCTACGGTGTGGCGCCTCCTCCACACTGTGGTCTCTGGAGAGCGGGGAGCACCTCTGACCTTTACGGTGCTTTGCCCTCCTGTTCTTGAACCACACCTGGACAAGAGAGAGAGTAAAACAGCCACGGTAAATGTATGTTTATGGCACACTTCATACACAAGGTAGGTCTAAAATGCTTGACACCTTTGCACATTCAAAAGAAACAAACTTTAGAAGACTGGCTCAAAATGTGAACATCTAGAAATGTAGAGAAGATTAAAGTTAAGACACAAAAACTAAACAATTCCATGGAAACTTTAAAGGGGAGCTTGTTTTTTTAGCAACCTTTCACTGTCAGCATTCATACATTTGTTACCACATGAGAAATTGTGAAAGATAAGGAAAACAAAGTACTCATGTAAAATGGCCTATTTTAGAATATTATTGGATTAGAAATATTGATGCAGAAATGTGTTTATCACTTTAGTGTTGCTGCTAAAGGGTGTTTTAATTCCTTTATGGCTTAATCTATAATAATACATCATCATTTATTACCCTATAACTTGTAGTCGTAACAAGCTTTCTTTTTACATATGTAGTGAATTGTAGTTGCCATTAGAGTAGAATACAAATACATATGTACTTTATGTAATTGTCACCACTTGAATGTCACAATTATGTACAAATGTGCGACTGTATCATTCCTTAACCTTCCTTAACCTCCCAGTTGTTTTCCCCATTAGAATTACACTTTAATATCAATATCAAATGGTAAGTGCAGCCTTTTATTACTGTGTCCCAGATTCAAACAAATGTGCATTATTCAGCAGGTCTCCAGTCAGGTGTGTTGGGGGAGTGTGTGTTCACCTGAATGCGAGCCTCCGGCAGGTTGATGCAGACAGCCAGTCTCTCCCTCATGCTCACGTCGGGGTACTGTGTCTGCTGGAAGGCTTTCTCCAGAGCCTGCAGCTGCGACACTGTGAAGGCCGTGCGGCTGCGGCGCTGCTTCTGCTGGTTTCCATACCGAGCCTCAAGAATAAGCTCTGGGCGGGACAGAGAGAAACAGAAGGTTATCACCAGTCACTCAGCAGCAAGTCCTCTCCAAAAACACTATCATAGGGAGCATGAAGTGAATTAATATTTCCCCCACACTTGCATGTTGTTTTTCTTTGAAATCAAGGCAGTAGAAGTTTGACATGATTTTTATTGACTTTTATATGCTGAAAAATGGAATAATAGTAGCTTATTTTATAGGCTGCTGGACATTGTATTTGATGGATTCTAACAATGAACAGTGGTGGAAGAAGATTTATGTTCATCCCTTGGATGTTGCAGGTTAAGGTTTGAATAACTCAAATGTTCTTATAGTTCATCTTTTAAAATCATATTTTGTGTTATTATCCAAAAATAGTCAAGCAATTAAGTCCTCAAATAAATGTAATCAGTTATTTCACTGAAATGTATCATTAGCACAACATATTTATACTTACAGTAAGTCAAGTATCTCAACAAGTATATTTAGTCTTTTATCGTTCATTTTTGTAAAGCACTTTGAATTGCCTTGTGTTGAAAGGTGCTGTTTAAATAAACGTTCCTTGCATAGTTAATGCAAACTATTGATCATTTAATCATTCAATGTGTTATAATCAATTGTTTATATTGTGATCATCAATTTGACCATGAACCCTCTTTCACCACATCACTATATACATAAGTTATGTGCATAATACAACATAACTCTAGGAAACAGAAAATGTGTTTTAAACTGTTAACTAACATTTATGTTCAAGTGTTCAGTCCTTTACAGTTTTTCTCAATTGCTAAACCCACTATTTAGAATCAAAATTCATTTCTTCAAAACAAGAACATAGCCATCTAAACAGAAACACACTTGCCATAACTCTGAATATCTTTTGCAAAATGCACTTACATGACCAAAACTGAAAATACTGGTCACAAAAAAGAATAAGTCGATCGAAACAGAACAAATTGTCCTCTAATGAGACAAATGTGTTTTCATAACTGAAACTCCGGTCACCATAATANGCAGCACTGACAAAATGATGGGTTTTACTAAATTAACATATTTTACTGCAGATTTACTACTGCAATTTGTATCAACATTGGGATTTCAACCACTTTGCATTGCAAAGTGGTTGAAATCCCAATGTTGATACAAATTGCAGTAGTAAATCTGCAGTAAAATATGTTAATTTAGTAAAACCCATCATTTTGTCAGTGCTGCTAAACCAGTGGTTCTCAAAGTGGGGGGCGCGCCCCCCCAGGGGGGCGCAGAGGCATGNCATCATTTTGTCAGTGCTGCTAAACCAAAAACACAAATGAACCCCCAGAGAATTCAGGTACAATTAGGCACAGAAACATACAAATGTGAAATAAAGTTATTTGTACCTGAATTCTCTGGGGGTTCATTTGTGTTTTTGGTTTAGCAGCACTGACAAAATGATGGGTTTTACTAAATTAACATATTTTACTGCAGATTTACTACTGCAATTTGTATCAACATTGGGATTTCAACCACTTTGCAAAGCTCAAATATAAGGCCTGATCTTCTTTTGGATATAAATAAATGTTTTAATTTGTGAGCACTGACAACATCGAGCAGTTTATATTGTCACATTTTACATGGAGTTTGATGTGTAGCCCAAAGCACTAAATTTGGTTTTGTAAAAAATGTGAGATCTCCAGTCTGCACATAAATAAACTCCAATATTTGTTGAATGAATCTGGTTAGAATTATGCATCAGAATTCCAGATGTGGGTCCTATGCCAGCATGACATTATTTGCAGTTGTACAAATACAATTGTATTCAAAATATGACAAAGTACTGAATGAAATAACAGAAGTAACATTAATTAAGTATTGACTTAGACTTAAATCAAGTACTGTAGTTTGATTATTTCCCTTTTATACTATTATATCTAGATATCTGAAGGTATGAGTTATTTTGCCGATTGAGATTAATACTACATAATGAAATCAACAAATAAAATATAACTTAACATTAAAGATTAAGATAAAACTTTATTAATGCCCAGGGGCTCAATTCACCAGTAGTTAAAAATGATCCAACCTTTTACAAGTTACAACATTAAAGTAATATTAATGGAATATATTATAAACGTTATTCAGAAATTGGAGACTCTGTTTAGTGAGTAGGCTACATTTACTTGCGGTACTTTATTTAAGTTTAGCTTGATGTCAATAACTTTACTTAAAAAAATGAATGGATAACTTTTATGTGCAAAATTGCATTTCTACACACTGTGGAATTGCCACTTTAAATACAAGATATGAGTAAATGTTCTAGCCCTTTGACCACTGGTCAACATTTGTATACACCTGTAGCAAAAACATGTTTGACGAGCACTACATTCAGGACAATACTCCCTTTATTTTAGTCATATTAGCAGATTTAAATTATACCAATTTAGATGTGTGGTGTGAGTCTTTTTACACCATCCGAGGTAGAGGAAGTACTCAAATCTTGTACTCCAGTCAAAGCAGAAATGCCATAGTATAGGAATATTCTGTTACAAGTGAAAGTATGTATTGAAAATGTTACTATTGTAAAAGTACAAATACCTAAGTGTTGGCATCTAAATATACTAAAGTAGCCTACCAAAAGTAAAAGTACTGAATGTGCAGATTAGCCCAAAATCATATATATATATATATATATTTATAGGTTATAATTATTTTTATCAAGCTGGTAAAGGTGGAACACATTTGAATGACTTTATTCACTGCTGGGTACCTTTAAATTGTAGTTGAGTATAAGTAAAGTAGCATAAAATGGAAATACTCAAGTAAAGTACAAGTACCTCAACAGTTTACTTATTTGCTTGATCAAATGTACTTTGTTACTTTCACCAGTGCACACCATTGTATATTCAGTTCTGTATAAAGAGTGTAATGTGTCCAGCGAATGGACCAGCTCACAGCAGCTAATCAATGAGCTACTCACGCCTGATGTTTTGCTTTATTCACCAAACCAGTTGCGTCAGTTTTCCAGCGTACGGCGGTGGTGGTGTGAGCTGTGAGCCGGCGTGACGCTGTGCCTGCCTGGGTATCGGGCAGCGGAGGGAGGCTTAAAGAGACAACAGCAAAATCATAGCAACTTGAGAGGCTAGAGAAACGAAATGAGAAGGATACCCACACACGAAGAACCATGACTTCGAATGCCTTCTGGTAGCTGACATTTAAAGGTAACACGCTTTCCTTTAGCGACAGAAATGTGTTGTTTCTTGAAGACACCGTCCCGCCGTTCGTGAGCGTTCTTGCTAATGTTTCAGTGGCTAGCTTGCTAAATGGCTAGCTAGAAAGCTAAACGGTAAGAGATCCGGGCTGCCTACGGTGTGCAGTCGGTTGTTCTGGATTAAGGAGTTGCCCGGCAGGCAATGGTCAGGGAAATATCTACAGCTGGGAGCTGAACCAAAACTACCAATACTCTCAGGTGAAACAACTAACCCTCTTATCATACAATCTGTGGCATTAAGTAGTTGCGACATTGTTATTTCTCAGCTATTAAGCGTTTACTAACTGACCATGTTAATGTGGCACAGCGAATGTCAGTCAATGAATATTTTATGATCGTTCCTGCTTCGACTTGTTCCGTTTGCATCAGTTTGCTTACGGTTAGCTAGTTGGTGTTTGAAATAGTAAAGTGTTGTTAACAGATTAGCGATGGTACATCGTTTTTATTTAGGCGTTGGGCCAAGAAGAACGGTGTTTGTGGTAAGTGCTAGGTCGGTTAGCTTATCACTGCTAATGTGACATTTCGATTAAGCGTCAACTATAGAATAAACGTCTACTCAAGGAGAATGTGCCGATAGTGTTGTTTTATGTAGCTACCATAAGTATACGTTTAAACGGAAGCAAGCGATTGAACGATATCAAGCTAACTGAAGCTTGCTAACTTCAGAGTATCTGGCCTTGTCCGTCGTACCAGCTATGTTAACTTAACCCTTCTCAATACACGCATTGACGGATTTTAGGAGTGAATTCGTTTTTTAAGACCTCATCTCATAATAGAAAACTAACATAGGGCTTTAGAGAGAAGACGGCTGTATTTAAACACTTGAAACTGACGTTACGCGCTAAATGACAGCTGCCAACCCCGACGTTATTCGGTTAGCTACTAGTAGCATTAATATAAACTCAAAGGGCAGATCTTCTGTACACGGAAATGAAAATGTATCAACCAAAACTTGTCTATAACGGCTCTAATGGCTGTTCGATTTATATTGATAACGTTTGAATTCGTCTTGTGTCGTGTTATTACAAGCTAACTGCATCGACTACAACGTTCATGGCAAGACAATGTGAGAAACGAACCGATCTCGTTTGGTGAGGCATTATTCACAGATTTTCTGTCAATTAGTTGATGTGACATCCAAAAACTAAGAACATAAAACATCTCATTATACAATAACATTGTATCTATATCAAACAGCTGACAGGAAAAACAATACTCAACTTCCTGAAATCAGCCAGATACATGTTTCGCTATGGTGGCCGACATTTCTAAACTGAGACAGTGAACTATTTCATTTTTTCAAGGGCCATCACTATTCTTTCTTATATTAACACTTTATCATACTTGTTTTAAAAGCATTGAATTGTTTTTTGGGTCACCTTGACAAATCAGATGCTTGTCTTAGTGCATTTCAGTTGTTGTGATCATTTGACTTTGCTGTTACCGACCTCGTTCATTGTACTTCCAATCTTGTGACCAGGTAGGCTAGTTTCTTCCTATTTCTACAGTAAGTATCGTCATGCTTCAAGGTAGACATGACAGTGTAATGATTGACCTCATACTTGGTTTATAACTTACATTACATGTCATTTGTTAGACGCTTTTATCCAAAGCGACTTACACACATTCAGTACTGTGGGCAATCCCCACAGGAGCAATTTGGGGTGAAGTGTCTTGCCCAGGGACACAACGACATGCTGACTGCAGTGGGACTCAAACTTGCTATCCCCTGATTCGAAGTCCAGCACACTACCCACTGAGCCACAGCCTCCCTAAATGTGTATTTTTTTTCAGGCTGACTGCAGTAGTGAAAGAGTACAGACATACTCAACGTCTCAGTGTATTTGTAATCGTTGTGTCATTCTTTAGGAACTCGTACCAAGGGAATGATCTTCTTGGCACCTGCCACCTGCCAAATAAAGGGGAAAGGTTGGCTGTGGCAGGGAACAAAATAGGTCACCTGCCACCATGTCAAATAGGTTTTTCTTTTTTATATTTAGAACTCTTTTTTTAAAGAGCAAGTCTATTTAAGGCAGGGTTGAAGGTTTTATAAGGATATATTCAAGTGTTCTACTGTCTGGCACCACTGATTCATTGTTTACATAGATGTCAGAAGTTGCTGACAAAAGGTAGAATGTTGTCTATGCAGGAAATTAAATTACTCCCGCCCGTGTTCACTAAACGTCAGACATTGGTACTGCTTTTTTATTTTCTTTATGTAGTTTTGCCTTCTCGTTAAAAAAGCCAACTCTCAAATTAACCACGGATAAACATCAGAAAACTATAACTCCAATGTTTTGAATACCTATTTATTATCATAAACCAGTGCTAAATCATCTCATATTACCGTATGTTTGACCTGTGATGGCTATTTTAGTCTTTAGTCTTTCTGTTACAGCATTACTAACTGTAGACCAGACTGTATCCAAATCCTTCCAATAATATGCTTCCCAATGATGCAAATGTTATGATGAGATGGGGCATTACAGCAGTCATTGATCCGTGTAAGTGCCTTTCCATAAGAAAGAGTGGCTGCCCAGTACTAGTGCTTGCATTACTTGCTCCACCAAACGTCTTAGATCATGGACGTAGGGGAGTTAGGAGAGCAGCTCTGGACAGATATGTCTGCATGTTATTGTTAGCGAAATGCTGCACAGAGAAGGTCAGGTTACACTGCTAATGAAAACTGAAATGAGGGTTTGATTGATGTTGTTTGTGCCCTGCATTGCTCCTACAATAGTGTATGGCTTCGAATCATATCCTGTTTTAGTAAGTAGGACATTTTGGAGCTTTGCAAAAGCTTTTGAGGATTGTGCCTGAAACTTGGCTCAGGTGTTTCAATTAATTTACACTTTAGTCTTGCTTACAAGAGTTTCACTCATAGGCTCTGTGTCTTGGGCATTACAAAAATGAGTTTAATCGAAAAAGAGATTATCTATTTTCCTCTCATACCTGAGGTCCACTGTGGAATATTTCTGCTCCTATTGATTGCTTTATTGAATTAACCTTGTGCAGGTCTGAAGCAAGATCTCATTTCAGCTGTAGTAAGGAACAGCCATAGTAGACATACATTGATCTTTAAGTCAAAGGTTAAAGTGTTATTATATATATTGTTTATGTCCACATGGCCAGAAGTATTATGAGAGCAAATAATGGTTTGAGTTTTGGCTTTTTTTTTATTACAATCTCCAGATAATGCTTATATACTGTTATAAATCTAGAAGGGGATAGCTACAGTACAGAATATATTGTCTGACGTGAGTAAATATATAGAACATCTTCAATTAATGTAAAGAATATTTTTAAGAAAAAGTAATGATAGTTTATTTGGAGTGTATTTTATGATCTTTGTTGTAGTAACAGGCTATACAGAGTACTAACTGATATCTCTTTGTTTTTGCTTTTTCAGATACCCAGCTATCATCAGACTCATCAGTTACCAGTCTTCCCTCCAGCTGTTTTCTCTGCGTCTGGGTTGCCTTGTCTGCTGTGGCCCTGCATCATGGAGAGCGTCCACTGTGTCACTGAAGGCTGACCAGAAGGAATGAGGGACTCTAGGAGATGTTCCCAAGTGTCCTTGTGGATGCAGTAGCTGGGTTTCGGAGTCCTTTTTTATGACTAGAATTGTATGTGCATCTGTGGGCACATCCTAGGACAACCTGCCTATTCTTCAGGCAGGGACATGCTACTCTGAGACTGGAGCTGGAGAAACAAACAAGGAAGGAACCCCTCTGCTAAACAAGGAACCCAAAGAAAAAAGGGAAGCGCTCAGCAGAAGACCCAACTGATAGACACTTATTGAAGTGTCTCATTGAAGTGTCCTCTGAATCATTGCACATTTTAACAGCAACACCTTTCCTCTGTCCTGTGAGAGTTTGTCTCCCTCCCCCTCCCTAAAGCGTCCTCTGTCGTTGTTATTGGAGTTTCTACGGTTTGCATGGCTGGAGAATAACCGTGGAGAGGCCAGGGTATCACAAGCTTATGGATTTTGAAAAGAGAGGGGGCAAGGGAGAGACAGAGGAAGGGAAAAAGATGTCTAAGACAACAGGCAGCAGGACTGGACATGGGGGCCGAAGTTCAGGGACCAATTCCGGAGTTCTTATGGTTGGACCGAACTTCCGTGTGGGTAAAAAAATCGGCTGCGGGAACTTTGGAGAGCTGCGGTTGGGAAAAAATCTCTATACTAACGAATATGTCGCCATCAAATTGGTAAGTGCATCCTCAGGGTTGGTGAACCAACAGAAATGTCTATGAGCTTTCACTTCCATGTAAGCACCACAAAACTGTTCTGGTACATCTCCAATGTCAGTCTTCATCCTGTATTCTGTATTAAGACTACTACTTGCTTTTTATTTTTATTTTCTAGCAGTCAAAATTTCATTTAGATGTGCAGCAGACTCTTGTGCAGTTGACTATTTGACCTAAGAGAGCCAGACACAGGAAGTATAAAGGAACTGTCCCCTCCTCCCACAGCTAGGCCCCATGGGCTGTTAATGAGTCAACCATTCTCTGCTTGTGTTTATCAAAGCGGTGAGGAAGACTTGATTATAAGACTTGGATAATATCTTAAACCATATCTTGAGTGGTGTGTGTGTATATAAAAAAAAATAGGACAAACATTTTCAGCCTTAACAATTTGTGTCATTCAAGAGGTAAACAAGTGTTGTAAGACTTGTTTTATTTAAATATAATCTCTATTCTTTGTAAGCCAACATTTAAAATGTGTATCTACCTATACTACAATTCCCTCAGTCAGAGGAGTGGATTTTGATTCTTGTGGAAGCTCTCCTTCTAATAAGCTCACTCCAGGTCCCATGTGCAATCAATAATTGACTGCATGTTTTTGTTTTGTGTCAGCATGAACCCCTTTTTTTCCCAAAGCCACTGTTTTAAATAGCATTTAAACAGGCTGCAAAAAACCACATGAAATGTCAGGTGTTTGCTTTTTGGATTCTAGGCCAGCAGGTGACTGCTCAGCCATTTCCTCTAAATCAACTTTCCTCTATGCATCTTTTCCCAGCTATAAATGTGTTGCCACTTGTAGTTGCTCTTTGATCACTGGCAGCTTGTTTTCCTCTCTGGTAATGCCATGATGTAAGCAAGGCCTAACTCAAACTCCAGTTAAGTAGTCCTACTGGAGCTGATGGGTGGGCTTGGCGTCATCTCAGCCACATCGTATCTCCTGCGAGGTCCTTATCTCTGAACGGGCATCCACTGAAGGCTTTGCTAACCACGTAGAAGGCAGAGGTTAGCAAACAGCTGTAATTGCAGTTCTCCTCTGAAATCTCTGGTTGTGCTGGCTGCTCTTCCCCCCCCCGCCTGTGAACCCTCCCATCTGTTTGGGTATTTTTAACCCCATGGTGTCCAGCTATATCTGGATCTGGCATTGGGGCAGTAACACTCCTCCATAGATCTTCTGGCCCACTGGACCCAGCATTTATCATCTTGGCTTTATCAGCATGTATATTGGTTCAAGGTTTCAAGGTTTTTATTTTGTCATACGAACATAGCTACAGTGTAGTTATGACAATGAAAATCTTAGGTCACAGGCTCCTCCAACAGTGCAACACAATAAAACAGGTGAACAGATAAATATAGTGCAAGTAAATATAAAAATAAATATAGTTTAAAAAGTGAAATAGTGCAATAAGAGTATATACAAGTTATTGGAATATGATATATTAGATAAATAATTTCTAAATAGCAGCCAGATGAATGTTATGGATGTTGTTTCAGGTGTTTAACAGTCTTATGGCCTGTGGGATGAAACTGTCTCTGAGTCTGGTGGTTTTAGTCCGGATGCTGCGGTAGCGCCTGCCAGACGGCAGCAGACAGAACAGTTTGTTGCTGGGGTGATAGGGGTCTTTTATAATCCTGAGGGCTTTCTTCCTGAGCCACTGGGAGTAAAGGTCCTCCATGGATGGCAGCTCCGTCCTGGTGATGTTCTGTGCAGTTTTCACCACCCTCTGTAAAGCCTTACGGTTGAGGGCGGTGCAGCTGCCGTACCAGGCAGCTAGTCAGGATACTCTCTATGGTGCACCTGTAGAAGTTGCAGAGTGTCCTGGAGTCCATGTTGAACCTCCTCAGCCTGCGGAGGAAGAAGAGCCGCTGTCAAGCTTTTTTGGTGATGGTGGTAGTGTGAAGAGACCATGTCAGGTCCTCAGTGATGTGGACACAGAGGAACCTGAAGCTGCTGACTCTCTCTACCGTAGTCCCATTGATGGCGATGAGGGCTTGTCCCTCTCTCTGCTGCTTCCTGTAATCCACGATCAGCTCCTTGGTTTTGCTGACGTTAAGAAGGAGGTTGTTATCCTGGCACCAAGATGTCAGGTTTTCGACCTCCTCTCTGTATGCCTTCTCGTAGCCGCCTGTGATCTGGCCGATGACGGTCGTGTCGTCGGCAAACTTCACGATGGTGTTGGAGCTGTTTGTGGCCACGCAGTCGTGTGTGTGAACAGGGAGTAGAGGAGAGGGCTGAGCACGCAGCCTTGATCGGCTCCGCTGTTGAGGATCAGGGTGGAAGATGTGATGTTTCCCGAAAGTACTGCCTGGGGTCTGCCCGTCAGGAAGTTCAGGATCCAGTCACAGAGGGGGCTGTATAGCCAGAGGTCCCTGAGCTTGATGACCAGCTTGGAGGGCACAATGGTATTGAATGCTGAATTGTAATCAATGAACAGCATTCTCACATATGTGTTCCTCTGGTCCAGGTCTGAGAGGGCAGTGTGGATGGTGAGGACTATGGTGTTTGAGGAAGTAGTGTGCTAATTGTGTTAAGGCACAACATTGTCAGGCTATTAGTGGGGCCCGATTTTGAGGCTTCTGGGTTTATATATGATTTTGAAGACTAATTTTAGATAGTGATTCATGTTTTGTTTGTATAATAATTGTATTTTGTGCAATGATGACTCTAATTGCTCTCCACAATAGCTTTCTCTATAGGCGCATTCACACCACAGTACTTTTCCCACAAAGGTTCATAAGAACTTAGCTCATGAGAACTCTTTAGTTCTCATAAACTAAGTACAGATCGCGTTCACACCGGAATAAGTTCCTGGGGAAGGATTAGGCAAATGAAGCCGCTGACGTCACTTCTTCTTCTGCTTTGGGTTTACTGGCAGGCCGCAAACACCTTCACGGCGTATACTGCCACCCGAAGTTCCCGGCCGGAAGTCCCCGGAGTTGGGGACTGGCTTCCCGAGTACAACGCGCCAGACGCCGACACCCCTCATCCCACCGCTCCCACTTTTCTTTGTTGTCCTAGTTAGTCCTCTCGTTTGCGACTGGGTAATCCAATCTAATAAAATGCGCGTCACAAAGTTTTTGAGTTTACGGGCGCAAGTTTGCATTCCGCCCAAAGCCCAATCAACAGAGGACCTTTTTTCTCCCCACAGCCTGCTCTCTTAGCAGGACTGAAAGGGGGTTCTAAAAACTTTCTCCAGACTAATTTGTTCCGACTTTTGCTGGCGTAACGCAACTAAATCGTAGCTCAGGAACCTTCCTGTGGAAAGATTGAGTGACTACTTGCCTTCGTAGCGGCAAAACCTATAAACTAAAAAGCCAGAGCACTAGTTAGCAGATGCTTACGCAGGGAAAATCATCCAACCAGTATCAAGTATCCTCCTTTGTGCATTTTATTCCTTAATAAAATCCAATGAACCAGGTTTCCTCTTTTCCTTAACGCGTCCTTTTTATGCTTCCTTTTTCTTTGCCTGGAAACACCCTTGGTTAAAAACGTTTCCTACCAGTCTCTGGCGCCCACCTCACCGTCTCTTAAATATACATTGACCCAAGTCTCTAATCACCCCGCCCAAACACCCTTCAAAAAAAAGGCATAGAAACTACTTTAACCTTATGACACTAACTAAAAATACATTCAATCAACCACTATAACGCCAGAAAATAAAATGTTAAATATTAAATACTAAGAGTATATACGCCAATACCTTCCATGACACATTTGTTACGGGTGAGCAGTTGATTAGCTGATATAATTACCTACGTCATGAAGCATTAATGATTACACAGAACGAGCAGTGTGTGTGGAGGCATCGGAATCTCTCATGATCTTCATCGTTCAGATTAGATTTCGCAGAACAGTCTCCTCAGGACCGTCAACTCCGGCGACCCGTGTTTTAAACATATCAGAGATTAACAGCTATAGGGCACTTTACCACATAGTTTTAATCTTGTGGGGGTTGCACCTAACGATCAGGAGTGAGTACTGGCTCACGGATCTCCTGCGGTGTAGGTCTCATAATTTGCACGAAATCAAAAACACTAAATGCTTGACAATTCACACAGAACGTAGCTA